GAAATATGTTAGGTTTTAAAGGGCCATAGTTGTCGCACTGCACATGTGCGACATTTGTGTTGATAAACATTGATTTACCCATAATCCAGTGCACTTTTCTAATTAAATCACAAATACAAGTACAAGCCTTGCCCTGGGCACTAATTACTGCTAATGACTCCTTCGATACCTTCCAAAGACCAAAAAAAAAATACCTAATTCAAGCTTGGTAACTACTCAGTATGCACTCATTGGTGTGTTCAACAATCAAAATCGCCATCTTTGCTTATACAAGATCTATATATTGCGCATGCGCGACTCAACGACTACTGCCCTTTAATCAGTATAACTCGCAAACACTGAATTACAGATTTTATTTTTGGCCAAGTTACTCAAAATGGAAAGAGCTTTCAACTAATTTTTGCTGAAAAATACAACTTTAATAGGATAATTGGTGAGCTTTATAGTGGTACAAATACCATTGAAGTTGCATTGTTACTAAACAACATTCAATTTTAAAGGCAGTCAATTATTTCTGTGGGTAGGTAAAAGGTTAGCTCGACAAGATCACACGAGTTGCACCCTCCGCGGTGCTCCAAACCCAAAAACGCCAGACAGAACAATGTAGTTTTTCACTTTCACTACCAATCAAATTTCAGAAACGTCAGATAATGACAGCCATCAAAGACATAATGTGTGATAAGGTGCTAGCAAATTTCTGCCTAATGTTTATCATCTTGTTGAAATCAGTCAGATTTTTGCTGACAATGCAAACACAGCTTTGATTAACAGTGTTAATTGGCCACCAAAATGAATATTCATTGCAACACATTGCAAGAAGGCATGAACGTCGTGAATTCGTAGTATTGATTTTGCTAACGAGACGTACACTATACTGTCAGGTGTTAGCAAGGTCTGAATCCGTTGGGCCGGCAAAGGCGCTACTTATGCCTACATGTAAGGTTAGTAAAAGTTCAGTAGCAGGTAAACTGGCTGTTCATTTATTTTGTTCTGTTTTTCATTTATATTCGAAGTCATGAAATAAAAAAACATGAACATGAATCTGAAAAAAATTTAAAATTTGTAAAACAAAAAAAAAAGTCGATCAAAAAATCTTTGGTAAAAGTTAATGGTCTTGAATGTTGTAGTGGTGAGAATGTCATTGTTTATAGAACACCCACAGCTTGTTGAGAAAATTGTATATCATAACAAATATAACACACAAACTATAGTGTAAATGTATGAACAGCTTGTCATAGATTTCTTTTAAAATAAATATCAAAATATCTGACAATTTTTTTATAGTTTCAAATAATTATTGTACAACACGTAAATAGCAAAATAATTTTAACAAATTTTTGTTTTTTGATTGGTAAAAATCAAGAGCTTGTTTGATTCTAACAAAAAAATTATATAAATTTGTACATTTTAGTAACACAAAAAAAAGTTCCCTTGTGTAGAAATTGTTCACATGTGTACAACTTTAGTTGACTTTACTGGATCAGACAGAAATATGCATATAGAATGATAGTGTTGTCATTGGAAACTACGGTAGATACAAGAAAAGAGCTTTGATAGAGAAAGTACTGTAAATGCAATAATTATTCACTGTTTTTTAATTTCACCATTTTTACCAATCTGCAAAATTAAATCCATGTAAATCTGCCTCGTTCATGAACTTAAAACCTAGTGAAATTGCTCAAAGCTTCAAAATAGTGAAATTAAATGCCAGTGTAAAAAAAAAAATAGTTTTACAGTAAAAAAATGTTTACAGCAACATAAAACTGAGAAAAGATCAAACACAAAACTAATAGAAACTGGAGGATAAACAAGCCAGTCAGCTGATATAGGTCTGCTGTTTAGATGCATAATAAGAAAGGAATATCAAATCAAGGACACCAGTATTCACTAAAATGAGAAAATGTTAGTTATCGATACTAAGTAAATTAATTTGATAGAGGAAGAAATTTAATCAGTCTGACAGTGATCCATCTAAGGCACCTACATAACAAATTATTGTTTTTTAACAAATTATTCACCATAAAAAAATCACCTACATATAAAACATCAAGGCAATCGGCAAGCCATTTTTAATAAGTCACAAATCACACTTTTTTAATTAAATTTTACAAAAACAATGACTAAAATTAGAGAATTGAAGGTATATATGAAAATATCAAGGTAATCAAACTTGTAGATTTCAAAAAGATTTGAACTTACTTTTTACCAAAAATTACAAAAATATTCATCAAAATTAGAGAATTGAAGATATCATCACAAAATGAAATCAAAGAAAGCTTAGAAAGAACTCCCATGTGCTGAGAGTATTGGAGACACATTAAATATAATTCGAAATTACTTAGCTGAAAACTAATTATGCAAATCAGAAAATTAATATGACCAGATTTGAGTGTAAAACTAATGAGGTCTGCGCAATGTAACAGAAAATCTATGTCTCCAAGTTTAATTGAAATGTGATTAGAACCAAAAAATTATGAATTATTATGCTTATTAGGGAATTAATATGAACAGATTTTTACCCCAAACTAATTAGGTTTGTACATTGTCCTAGAGCATCTTTGTACTAAGTTTCATTGAAATGGAATAATTAGCACCGTGAAAACTCCAAAATTTCGACCCCTCTAAAAATTTGACCGCCTATTTATTTGCCGGGTTTCGGTGTTTTATTCACCTCCAAATTTTCGACTCCACTAAAAATTGCCGACTCATTCTTATTCGAAAATTGCGACCAGTTTTAGTTTTCCCCCAAACGAAAAAAAAAA